TTTGAAAGTTCTTTGAAAAAGCAAGTATGTGTCATGAATAAAATTTAAAAACATTAAAACTTCAATAATTGAAAAATGGGATTGTATAGTTTGGGACTATTTATCTTTCTTACCAGGTGGTCACAATTACTCTTAGCCTAGATGTCAAATTGGATGGCTTAGGGGTGTGTCACAAAATTCAAATTTTTTTTTTGGAACTGAGTCTAGTCAATGGCATATACTTACAACCATCTCATTTGAAAACGGAAGGACCAGAGTGAGTGTGACCTCTTTGTGCTAAAAGCAAATGGTCTCTATATATACTTTTCTTTAAAAATATAAAATATTTTAAAGCTAGATTTGTATTGTAATATCGTAATTAGAAAAGAAAGCACAAAATATTTGAAAAGGAAAAGGTAATTTTGAAAGTATTTGTAAATTTAAAATTTGTAATTACAAAAAAACAATGATAGCATCTTTTTTAAATATGGAATTTTATTGGAAATACAACTTTGGTATTTCTGCAATAAAGAGAACTTGTTTTGCTGTAAAGCTTTAAATTTTGAAAATAAAATTTTTAGTATTAAAAAATTCTTTAAATTAGTTGTAAACAATTTAAATAGTGTCAAAAAAATCAAAATTTAAAATGTATCTAAGTAATATCCTAGTATATAATAATATTATGTAAAATATCCTAATATTATATCGTAGTATTGTTAATGTTATATAATAAGCACTATATTGTTAAGTATGAGAATCTCCCACCCTACCCCTACTTGTTCCATCTTTTCAATTTACGGTGCATGCATGTTCCTAAAATCATGGGTAATGAGAGAATATTTATGTATCTGATTGGATTTCTTAAAGAAAACAAAAGCCATATTTGTCTCCCATTTTGATGATCTCTTTAGTAATCCACCAAGGCTTTTCAAAATTGATGGAGACGTTCAACTGTCAAGGCCCTTCTTAAATTATCATCTGAACATATTCCCTTATCGTCAAACACTAGCAATGTTAGTGGAGTACCAAAACTTTTTCCTATGGAGCTGGGTGGTTGGAAGTGGAGGAAGTAGTAGATCTTATTAGAAATACTTGCGAAAACGCAATCACCTAGGGCTCAATGGATTTTCAACTTCACAAAAAGCTCGTCAATGTGAAACACAAAATAATAATGTGGAAAAAAGAAATCACGTATCAGTTGAGATAAAAATTAATAGAGCGTTATTGGACATTTAGCTTCTAGATCAAAATATTCAGGATTTGAGTATTTTAACATAAGATTTTTTGTTGGAAAGGAATACCTTGTTTGCCTCTCTTCATGATTACCTAAAGATGGAGCAGATTTATCAGAGGTAGAGTTCAAGAGTTAAATGGTTAAAAACATGAGATCTTAATACTAAACTTTTTCATACCATTGCTAGTGCCCGAATGAGACAAAATGATATTTTTGGTCTCACAATTCCAAGCATTGAAGTTAACAATACAATAGAGGTGGAAAATGACATCATTCAAAATTTCTTGAAAGCTTTCACTTATGAGCTTATGTTCATGCCTAGAATGGGAGGTGTATCTTTTACAGTTTTGCCTGTTAATATGATTTAGTTAGAGTTAGATGTCTCTTTTGTTGAGCTTAGAAAGGTAACTTTCGTGTTCCTTGGAGATAAGTCACCTAGACTAGATGGTTTTTCTCTTCTTTTCTTTCAAAAATTTTGGCCCATGGTGTGTGGGGAGTTGTTGGAGATGGTTAGAGGATTTTTGGCAAGGGTTGAGCTATATAAATTCGTTATTTCAACCTACATTGGCTGATTGCAAAAAAATTTGTCATTGCAAGACTTAGCGATATTCGTCCAATAAGCCTTTTAACTAGTCTCTACAAAATAGTGGAAAGACTTCTAGCAAAACATCTCAAGATAGCCTTACCTCTTATTATATCTGATCTTCAGTCTATGCAGAGTGCTTCAGTCTTAATAATGCGTAATGTGGAAAATAGGGTTAATTTCTCTAGCGTTAAGATCCCTCAAGGGGGACCATATGTATCTAATTTATACTATGCAAATGACACTTTAATCTTTTGTAAGGATGATTAGACTCAAGTAAGAAATATTGGTAGATTTATGATATGTTGTGAAGTTGCTTTGCGTTTGAAGGTTAATTTTAGAAAAACATCATTGAGTGGAGTATGTTCCAATGATCATATGGTGGCGAGGTTAGCAAATATTTTGGGCTGTAGGGTGGGTGTTTTCTCCATTACTTATTTGGGGATACATATTTCAAATTCAAGATTATCCTACTCTGTTTGGGATAAAGGATAGTACAAGTAAAATTGGATTTTTGATATAAAAAATACTCATCTTTGGGGGAAGCATAATGTTGATTAATTCATGCCGGGGCAATCTTCCTATTTATCATATGTTATTTTTATAAATGCCAAATTCAATTACTAGAAAGATTGAATGTATAATGCGCAATTTCTAGTGGGATTCTTTTGAAGAAAAGAAATATCATCTTTTGAAATGAGATAGAGTCTGTACCCCTAAGAAAGAGTGTGTGTGTGGGTGGGGGAGGGGGGTTGGGTATTAGAAAGATCTTATTGGTCAACAAAGCCCTACTTTGTAAGTGGTAGTGGAGAAGTTTACAGTTGAAGGATCAATTATGGTGTCAAGTTTTAATTGTCGAGTATGGGCAAGATAGGCACGGGATGTAGATTGGTAGACGTATGGGTGACGCTAATACTTCTTGTTTGTGGAAATCTATCTTCTCCTGTAAGCCTCTAGTTGAGAGAAATATCCGATGTATTGTTGGTAAGAGGGATCATATTTCCTTTTGACATCATAAATGGTTGAGGGATAGGCCTCCTAAAGTTTTTTTACCGGAGCTTTTTTATAAGTTCTCTCAATCAAATGCTAAGGTTGCTTATGTTATGGAAATTTCTGGGAACCGAGTGGTGTGGAGCATGAACTTCTTGTATAATACGTTACATGACAGATTGTTTACTTAATATTTTAGTCTTTTATAGGAGTTGGGAGAATTATATATCCCACATGATGTGGAAGATGAATTAGTTATGGTCATTTAATGTGAGATCTGTGTATAGATTACTCTTCCATAATAGATGGCATTGGACCTTGCCTGTCTTAAGTTTGGAAATGATCTATCCCCCACAAAGTTAAGATCTTTATGTAGTTGACAGTTCAATAGAAATACCTTACTGTGGATGATTTGATTAAGAGAGGCAAAGTACTCCCAAATGTGTACTCAATGTGTTGGAGTGATGGAGAATTTGGTGCTCATTTATTTTTTCGTTGTTCCTTTGTTTCAAGAATATGAAGTTGGTGCCTACAACAGTTGGGGGTGAGGATTGCCATGCCTCAAAATATGTTACGCATTATCATTCAATTAGGTTTTCCCTATTTGCATAAAATTGGAAATGTGATTTGGAAAATTCTAGGCGAGTTATTTTGTAGGAAGTGTGGAAGGAACGAACCATCGGACTTTTGATGGTAGTTTTGTCCCTTGATAGAGTTCTTCACAATACTAAGCACATTTTGTGGTGTTGGCTATCCATTAACAATGAGGGATGGGGTATTTTGGAAGTGGATGTTTTGCTTAATCCATCTTCTATACTCAATATGGAAATAGTGAAATGTCGCCGTAAGTGTAGATGGTTGCCACCAATGCAGGGTTGTTCTATGCTTAATTTTAATGGGAGTTCATATAGTAACCCTGGTCAGGCATTGGAGGGATTGTGAGAGATTGGAATGACGATGTAGTTTTTGCTTATGTTGACCTATGTGGGGTCAATAGTGCCAATTTAGCTGAATTCTCAGCTCTTCATGGATCAAATATCTTTAAAGAGAATAATGTTGGGAATTTTTGCCATATAAAAGGTGATTCATGGAATGTAATCAAATGGTGCAATGCGTGCTTTGGCAGTTGAGATTGATTTGATTACAAGTTCTTGACTTGGTGGGATCCCTTGCGGTTTCTTTTCATCATGTGTATAGAGAGGCTAGTGATATAGCATATACCCTTGTTGAGAGGGGTTCGGCTTTATCATCAATTGCCATCTCGAAAAATGTAAATTCTTTATTGTGACTCCCTTTTATTAAATAATAGTTTTACAATTAAATAAAGGAAATAAATCTTTTATATTTATATTTGAAAGCTCCACTATATTTACCCTACACAATACGCAATCTCTTTCACAATTACCTGCCCTATACTCTCGAGCAATAGGGTGTAGTTTAATTTAACAACAGATACCTAATCCTTAATATAGCTTAATATACGTATTATAGAATGGAATAAGTATTCTTCTATTTCATTTATTAACTGTTCAAAAAGAATATATAATTTCCATTTTGCCTTGTCTCTACATAATGATAGGAATAATTTTCAAACCTAAAATAATTATGAGGATACCAAGAAAAAAGAACTCAGAAAAGGCCAGAGTTAGCCCTACATAATGCTCTGAAGTGCCAATCAAAGAGTCAAAGAACTCAGCCCGTAGCACTATACGTCCCACCCACCAACAAGAGAGAATTGCTTAAAAAGATTTTGATGAAAAATGTGGTACTAAAAGCCAAAAGTCCAGCTTATATTGAACCTCTTGAGACAAAACATGGGCCCTCCAAATTTGGCTAATTAAATTCTCAATTGGGAACCACCCCAAAAATTGCTTCAAGAGAAACAAAAGAATGCCCCATCTCTCTGTCCAATTGCTTGCTTGCTTGCATTGAAACAGAAGAAAGGCCCCTCTCTCTGTCCAATTGCTTGCAGTGAAACAAAAGAAAGGCACCTCTCTCTTTCCAATTCCTTGCAGTGAAACAAAAGAAAGGCCCCTCTTACTGTCTCTCTCTCTCTTGCAGTGAAACAAAAGAAGCCCTTCTCCCCTCTCTCTCTCTCTAAGTGAAACAGAAGGAACCCCCTCTCTCTCTCCTTGCAGATAAAAACCTTCTCTCTCTCTAAGTGAAACAGAAGAAACGCTCGTCTCTCTCTCATTTCTGGCATTTAAACGACTCCGTCTCTCTCTCAGTGAATGAGAGACCTCTCTCTCAAAGTCAATGAAACGAAAATCCTTCTCTTTCTCTCATGGCTTGCAGTGAAATAGAAGAACCCCATCTCCCCCTCTTCTCTCTCTCTACTCTCTCATCCAACAAAAGCCAACAATCCTGCCAATAAGAAGATGAACCATGGCCTTCCTCAACTCCCTCCTAACCCTAACAATATTTCTATCAGCCACCACAACTTTTGCCAAACCTCCTGCACCACCCTTGACATGCGACACCATCGGCTGCAACCTCACCAATGGCTATGGCACATGGGGTGATAGGAGACCATGCAAAGCTTTGAAAGCCTTCTACCCCACGACCGAAGAAGAGCTCAGATCCACCATAGCTGAAGCTGTAAGGCAAAAACTTAAAGTCAAGGTAGTCAGCGGATTTTCCCACACTATACCAAAACTAGCATGTCCTGATCTACCTGAGAATTCCGTAATTATAAGCACCAGAAAATACAATTCCGGTATAGAGGTCGACATAGGTAAATCCACAGTCACAGTTGATTCAGGGGTTGGATTAAGGACCCTGATCGATAAGTTGGAAGAGGAGGGGCTCAGCCTTGTTGCATCTCCTTATTGGGAGGGGGCTAGTTTAGGTGGGATCATCAGTACAGGGGCACATGGTAGCTCTTGGTGGGGTAAAGGTGGAGGTGTCCATGACTATGTTGTAGAGCTCCGAATGGTTGTCCCCGCATCGGCTTCTGAAGGTTACGCAAAGGTCGTAGAGATGGATATCAGTCACCCGCTGTTAAATGGGGTTACGGTCTCGCTTGGTGTGTTAGGGGCCATTTCAAAGGTACGTTTGTGTGCATGTCTGTATTTTGTTTGCATGCGTACATGGATATGGATGCATGCACACATGGATATGGATGCATGCAGACGTATGTCTCAAAAGGGTAGGGCTGAGAATGGGTCTATATCCATGGCATCTGGATTTGGATACGAAAGGATACATGGGATTCAGATCCAATTCCAGACCTGATTAGATCCAGAATATTAGTATCCTAATCCAGATAAAAAAATATGCATGGGATCCCTATCCAAATCCAGACCCAATCAAATACAAAAAAATATTTTATATATTATTTTATATTTATGGAAATAATATAATATATGTGTGTATATATAAAACAACATATAATATTTCAATAATTGGGTCGGATCTGGCATCGGATCCAACTCTACAGATTTTGGATGCGGATCCAACCCGGCCGATCCAAATATTAGATCTATACCTGGATCCAGTTAGGGTCTGAAATTCAGTTTCAGATCCAAATCAGGAAAATTCGCAGCCCTCAGAGAGAGAGAGAGAGAGAGATGAGGTCCATTCTCACTAGCACCAAGTTGATGCTGAACCCCTAAAATAGACATGTCCACTCCTACAAAACGGTTTCAAATGTGAACTCTCTCCAAACACACCCTGTATTGAAAACTAAAATATAATCCCAATTGTTTGTACGTAATAAATGGATCTAAAGATTCTATGCTCCATGAAAGCAATGCTATCCATTTATTCCTTGGATAAAACCCACTCTGGGAGTATTTTTTTAGGACCAGAAATCGATTTAACCTCTTTAACCAAGCAACTAAAGTCCTAAACAAAAGAACTTCAAATCACACCCCACATATGCCTGAAAAATCAGCGTAGACCATCCAAATCATTGAGGATGAGATCCAAGTATTGAAGAACTCAAATTCCATTTGTTTAATAAGAATAATCATCCTAGGATTCTTAGATGGATCCCAGAATTTCAGATCGCAAAAGTCTTCCCAAGCTGTTTTATCCCCAAATCAACTGTATAATATGCTCCCTGGGGTGCACAGTAGCACTCTAAACATATGGGCACTACTTGCATATATTTCATAATGTGTTCTCACCTGGGATTCTCATTCACAGGTAAAACTGTCTCTAGAGCCTGTATTCAAGCGAAGTGTAACCAATTTATACAAAGACGACACCCTTCTCGAAGAAGAATTCATGGATCATGCAAAGAAACACGAATTCGCAGATATCACCTGGTACCCATCTCAGAAGAAGGTTGTGTACAAGTCTGATGATAGAGTGCCCCTAAACACTTGCGGAAATGGTGTAAATGACTTCCTTGGCTTTCGCCCCAATGGTGCTTTAGTCTCTGCTGCAGTGAGATCCACAGGTACAATTTTCAACATACAACTCTGTCGCACATACACATACACACACTCTCTCTCTCTCTAATAGAGAATGTGACGAGAGAGGTTTACTAAGATTTATGGATGGTTACATGACTATGCATAAGCAAACTCTAACTAGAGAAGATCTCTCAGCCTAAACTTTAGCAAGTTTCACAGAGTTTATCAACAACACTAACCATTTTACCAACAACAAAGGATATATCCTTTCCTATTGATTCTCTCATCCCAATCCAATATTTCTAGAACCATTATGTTCACAACTGCCACTGTCATTGTATTTCCTTAAACTTCTCGGCATAACCTGGCATATATTCTCACATTGTATCTGCACTTTACTGAAAATATTTCATATATTCTCACTTTGTATCTACACTTTACTGAAAATGTTTCTCTTTTCCTCGGTCATCTGAGCCCCTCATCTCTACCACCAAGGTGCTTTTGACAAATTATCAACCTAGTGTTACCGACTCTAGCACCAAGCATATCTCTCTATCATTCCATACAACACTATTTTCGTCGTAATCTAAGTTGCACCATTTGGTTTTCATAATCCACGCACACATGAGACAGCAACTAAACCCTGAAAGAGTAACTAGTAGACCAATAACTGGTTTTTCTACTGATAAACCTTTTCTCCCTATGTGATTGTACAGAGAAGGCACTTGAGTCAACAAAGAATGTCAAAGGGAAATGTTTGATGGCAGCGACTGAACTGGCATATAAGCAAGTAATAGCCAACGGTTTGAAAAACAATGATTTGATTTTCACTGGTTACCCAGTTGTGGGTATGCAGGGAAAAATGCAAGCCTCTGGTTCTTGCTTGAATTCACCCGAGACAAGCACTGACACATGTCCATGGGACCCAAGAATCAAAGGACTCTTCTTCTATGAAACAACTGCTATATTTCCAGCACCCAACTTCCGAGACTTCATCATAGATGTGAAGAAACTAAGAGACCTGAAACCTGAGAACTTTTGCGGAGTCGACATATACAATGGGTTCTTAATAAGGTTTATAAAGGCATCTGATGCCTATCTAGGCCAGTCAGAGGACTCTGTTGTCGTGGATTTCAATTACTATCGAGCAGATTCACCTTTGACACCTAGGTTAAATCAGGATGTATGGGAAGAAGTGGAACAAATGGCTTTCTTTAAATACTCTGCAAAGCCACACTGGGCCAAGAATAGGAAGCTCGCTTTTGCTGGGGTGCAACAAAAATATCCGAAGTTTAAGGATTTTGTTGCTGCTAAAAAGAGGATAGATCCAGATGGTGTGTTTTCGAGTAAGTGGTCTGATGAGATACTATTTGGGACAGAAACTCCCAAGAGTGATGGGTGCGCATTGGAGGGTTTGTGTATTTGTTCAGAAGACAGGCATTGTAGTCCACAAAATGATTATTTTTGCCGGCAAGGTCTTGTCTATAAAGCGGCTCGTGTGTGCAGATATTCACCTTCATCAGAGGCCTGATACAATCTAATTCAGAATTGGTCCCTGAAAAGTATGAACAGCATGTAACAATCGTGCATGATAGGAGTAACCATTCCCTTACAATTTTTTGTGTGATGATAGTATATGATAAAAAAATTTTTCGTGAGCAAATATTCAAATAGCATAAGATATTCTTAAACATAAATGGTTGTAAGTATTTCATAAGTATATTTCTTAAAATTCACACAGTGGAAGTTCTAAAAGTAACACTGGGGTGCCCAAGTGTTGTTGCAGTCATATTGTAACATGTACGACATAGTAGTGGCATTTTATTGGTTCTGGTTGAAATAGCTTGAGCAAGAAGATACACAAACACTTTTCTGTGTAAGTTACCTTTTTTTTTTAGTCAGAATGGAAGCAATCATACGAAGAACAAATCATTGGGGGTACTTGCAGGGGTGAAATGACTGTAATCTTGAGAGTGGCCACATTGTTGCTAAAGGTGGCAATGAAACAAAAAGGAAATATACTAGACTTGTGAAGCCAGTTACGTGATCCTTAAAAAACACTAAATATTTGCTTTCATTTTTCCAATAGTTACTGAATACTACTAAACATGTACGGATATGCATATGTAAAATATTTGCTTGCATGGAAATGTATAAAAAGTATGTCCAGGCACATTTCTCTTTTATTCAGTTATGCATGATAGGCTGCTTAAATTTCTCCACTGACCAATACGTGGAAAACCCATACCGGAACTAAGACATTCCCAAAGGTCCATTTCTCAAGCCGGATCAATCCAGACCAACATGAAACTGTTAGATGTATACTGAAATACTCTTGCATTAATTGCAAATACCTCTACTTTTGGGGAAAGTATCTGAAGTTGCCTTCTACTGGACAATTTAGACCTATCCATTGGATAATGTTGAAACCAGGCATGCTTGGCATGCAGATCTTTCACCAATGGAAAAACATTCAATTTGAGAAAATGTTACATATGCATCAGAAAAGGAAAGAGCTGCTTAATAAAAAAGACAAGCTAAACAAAAGAAATAGGTGCCAGCCTGGAGATAAAGACTCAGCCATTTTAACCAAGCAATGTTCATGAATCTGGTCGAGATATTTGTAGATAGACCATCTGGGTGTATCCATTGAAAACAGAAGTCTCCAACCTGGTCAGTCCAAGCTTCTGAAACAATCCATACCGTCCATCTTCAACAATGGGAACAGTTGCACGGGCAGGATCATACCTAGTTTGATGAGTGAGAGAAGTGCCTGCTACAGGTGGGAGCTCCCAATATACATCAAGCACCGACTCCACAAACCTACTGTTCTCGAAATGTTTGGAAAGAGAGATTGCCTTATTACTGTGATTGAAATTATCTCGCATATCTCCTCTAACACCCCACCATGCATCACCAGGTCCACAGAGCTCTTCTATATCTACAGCCTTCTCCCAAAACTTCCTTCTTTTCTCTCGAGTTCTTGCTTCATCACTATCCCTAAAGCAGCTATGCCCACCACCTGAAGAACAAATTACAACATATAACAACAGAAGCAAAATGCTGACCAAACTCTAATAAATCAAACACAATAAATTACCAAGACAAATGTCCATATACCTGTGAGTGTATAAAGCAAGCTCAAACAGAAGAATTAAGAACCAACATATATTTGGAGCATAGAGGTCCTCTTAAAAGCCTTATGACATATAACTGAGGACCTTCCATCTTCTAGAGGGATAGTCCTTAGTCAAACCACTATAAATTCGGAGAATAGAGGCAAATACAGGACAAATGATGATAACATGGATTTTTTGGTAATTCCAGTTATGTCATAGAGTATGACATAAAGCCATTCAATGGGTGTTTTCCATTGATATCAAAGCACAGTAGAATATAGTCATTTTTTCTAAACTAGGAGACACAATACATAACTGCTTTTTTGAAGTGGGAAAAAAAATACAGGATTTGACACAACAACAAGGAAAAAAATAGTAGATCATTTCAAGTCAAAGAAAGTCCATAATTGAGTTTTGACTCAGAACACACCAAAAAGGACAGGCAAAAAATTGACTGTTTCTAATCAAGGAAATAACATAACATACTACCAAACATTTTGGACGGAAAAGCAAGCACACCTTTTATGTAGAACTGATCACACATTTGTCTAAAGGAATAATGATCCCCTGTACCAGTATCATAGTTATCCTCAAAGACCAAGTGTGTAAAACCTGCTTTTAAGGCCTGCTTCAGTCTGCAACATTAATGCAAAAAGAGCCATTCTCAATCGAAAATTGATCGAAGGAAAGCAACAAAGAGAGAGAGAGAGAGAGAGAGAGAGAGAGAGAGATGCTTACTGAGATCAAAAAGTGCTTACCTTTTCAGTTCATTTTGGTGATCATCAAAGAACACAAGGACTCTACTGAGATCAGTAACCCCATGCTTGTTTAAAATGTTATTCCAATCAACACTCCCAAAATCCACAAAGTCCTTGCCCGCAAAATATGTACAGTTTCCATCAACATAGGCAGGCTCCTTCCTCAGGTATTTTTCTGGGTGCCTCGGGGATAGAGAAATGATGGCTGCTTCAGGCATGGCCTGTCGAAGAACCCATGTCGAGTGACCCTTGAAGGCTCCACTCTCGATCATCAAGTCAGGCTTCAACCATCGAGCAATGAACCAAAGCCCAAAGCTGTGGTCAAAACCCATCCCATACATGTTATTCTTGATAGGCCGAGTCTCATATATTGGCACAAATTCTTCTAAGCCCCGAAGCAGATCCTTTGTTGTCCATTTGACTGTTAGTCCATGTTTCGATCTGCCTTTTGCCAAAGATTAGTGCATGAGGTAAAACAAAGCACGAGATAATTTTCCAAGCATAAATCATTCAACCAAAGAGGAAAATAAATCAAAGTTGATTGCAAAATCCAAATGAAACAAATAACTGGGGCCATAATTTCGGTTTATTTTTTCATTTTCCTAACATGCAGACTTGGGATTTTTAAGACAAATTGAATCGCTTTATGCTGTACGCAGAACTTTGATTCTTTAACTCTTTCAGATTCTTTTTATATGTGATTATATTGCTCTTATAATCACTTATTTACTTTTAATTCTCATGTTGTCAAAATGAGGTATTGCAATTTTTATGCCAAAACCAAATTATTGGATTTTTTCAGAACTTGAAATTATTGGCTCATGTAGTCCTAGGATAATTCTTATAAGTAGTTGCAGCCATTTCTTCCACAGAAAGCTTAATCCTTGAAAAGCTTGAGTCTTCTGCACATGGAGCTCTTCGATAAGAGGTCGAACTGATCATATGGTTTGTTCTTGTAGGTAACTCACAATCCGTAATTAGTTCCAATAATTCCAAACTATTCACAAAAGGTCTTGTTATATAATTTCAGCTATCACTACAAGCCATTACTAGTGCTCTTGGAGGCATTTTCTCAGTTTATGTACAGTTGTCTATTTGCCTGCAACCTCTATCACAAGCCAAAATTTCGGGATTTTAAGATTACCCATACTAATCGGATGAATTTTTTGCCTGAAACCCTAGTTCCACTTCCCCTTTTAACTTAAAAAATCCATGCATCAATGTTTAGAGCTCAAGCATTCGAAAGATCTGAAAAGAATTTTACATGAAGAATCCAAAAGATAAAGTTCTAGTGCTCCATAATTACGCAGATTAGGACTCTTTCAAGAAGAAGATATTTAAGATTTCAAGAGAGAAAAACATCCAGATCAGGATACAAGAATCCATGGAAAGTAACAGTAAAGAGAGCTCAAACTTACACCATGGAACACCGAGAGATCCATAATCAGAGTCAAGACCTTCAACTGCTGAAAACTGAGGCCTGTAAAAGGGGTCAGGAGGAGGGTATTTGCAGACGTAATTAGGGGACTGGATGAAGAGGAACAGGAAAAGCAGGGCAATGGAAAGGATCAGGAATTGCCCTAGTGTTCCGATCTTTGGTTTTGGCCTCGACATTTTCATGGCCTGCTTCTTTAAGGGAGGTTTCTCTGTATGGTTTAATGAGAGAGAGGGCTCTCCGGTATACGAAAAGACCTCTTTGTCAGAGAAGTGAACAAAACGGGAAGCTCTTCGACTGAGAGAATCTCACAAACAGAACGGAATGAATAATTAATGGTAAGTGCTAAGAAGACTTGAAAGAGTTACGCAGTTGAAGTTGATTGCTTGTATGGGCCCGGAACGGGCCGGGCTGGACTGGCAAGGCCACATTTAACCTGGCGCAGATTGGGTTGGGACCGGCCTAATAGACTAAGAAAAATAAAAATAAAAGATAAAATAAAAGTAAAAATCTAGGCATAGGAATTGGGCCACTCAGTGTATTGCCCCAGACCTACTGTCACACCCCAAGAATTTACAGTACTGTTATTCTTCAGATGTGACAGACAAAACATATATACATCTATTGATAGGACAAATTTACAATGGCGAGGTCTTACAAAGTAAATAAAGAAAGCTAGCACAACAACAGTATCTTCCAAGGTTGATCTTGACTAGCACTCAAAATGAATCCGCAGTTATCCTGAAAAAAATGTTTACCATAGTTTGATGAGTTTGGCTACTCAGTAAGTGATCATCATAATCTTAAAAATAATCATGATTCAAAGATATCAATATTTTCCAAGGCGAGATCTATTAACATAAAATGCATCAACAGCTTCACTTT